AATGCCACTTCCTTCCTCATGACATGACATCAAATCATCATTTGGGTTGGAATGTGACAGTTTCACAGCAGAATAACATTGTATTGGTTACAGAGTTGGATCCACCCACATCCAGTCTCGTGTTATGTGGTCAACAAGCCATAGACATCACGACCTTAACATTCCTTTGATTAGTAATAAAGACATAGCTAATTTCTTCATTGTATCGAATAACGGCTGTAGTCCTTTCCAAAATGAAACGCTGGACTGGTCCTCTGTAGAAAGGTGTAGTGCTAATACACATTAACCTCCTCGGGGTGATTATATAAAATGTATAAAATCTTCTCTTTCGATTACTGTAACGCGACGTTATTCGTGTTTAGCGTTCTTATGAATCCCGATAATAAAATTGGTACCCGCGAACTTCAGCGGCAGCTATGTCGCTCGATACAAGCTCAGCCGTCGTCGCTTAAGCCTTGTTCGGACTAGGCGAGTATTTTAGTCGAGTACTGAGTAATTTAGTAGCTAAATGTGTCTGAGCACCAAAAATTTAGTCGAGAAGGTTAGTAAATAATTTAGTCAAGTCAATCCATTTGGTTCTATTTTTTCGGTCGAGTAGCGAGTAGTTTAGCCACTTAATTACTCGGTACTCGACTAAAATACTCACCTAGTCCGAACAAGGCTTTAGGCCGCGACTCAAACATCCATAAAAATATTTTAAAACGGGTATTTTTATTAGCCGACTTCAAAAAAGGAAGAGGTTCTCAATTCGACTGTATGCTTGTTTTTATATTTGTTACCTCATAACTTTTGACTGGGTGAGCCGATTTTGATGATTCTGTTTTTATTAGAAAGCTGACGCTTCCCGTGTGGTCNCCTAGTCCGAACAAGGCTTTAGGCCGCGACTCAAACATCCATAAAAATATTTTAAAACGGGTATTTTTATTAGCCGACTTCAAAAAAGGAAGAGGTTCTCAATTCGACTGTATGCTTGTTTTTATATTTGTTACCTCATAACTTTTGACTGGGTGAGCCGATTTTGATGATTCTGTTTTTATTAGAAAGCTGACGCTTCCCGTGTGGTCCCATTTATTTTAGTCCAGTTCTGATAATGGTATCCATGAGAATGCATTAAGTACGTGCGCGACAAATAGATGAATAACTCAATAGCACGCCAACCGATTTCGATGACTATTGTTTTTAGTGTATATCAATTTGTTTTGGAATATCTTTTTTTTTCTATTTGATGTCGGTTTTTGTTAAAGCATGTCTATTTACAATTATTTTATAATACGGCAAAGCGATACGAGAAATCTTTCAAGGTTTTTGTGAAGAGAATTGAAACGAAATGTTTTTGTTTTGCTTGGGATTTCATCTTTACGGCAAGAGAATTCCAGTCCGCCAACAGAATACCTAAAGTCGATACATAGATGAGTGATACACGACTCCGCGGAGGGAATATGTCTTTTTAATTAGTACCGCACCATCTCATGCGTTCTTATATATCTTACTTCGCGTTCTCTCCCGATTTTCTGCTTGAGTCATAGAAAAAGAGGGACTGTTGAACAGTTCGACTTAAGACTTTCTTCGTGCACTTGAGAAATCTATCTTATCTATAACTAGTCAGGTCATAAGTATTGTCACACAGTAAAAACTTTTCTTTTAGAATGCTGGCCACAAAAAAGTTTATTGAATTCGAATTTCGAATTGTTCATGAAAATAAAAATGTATACTTTTAGTATTTCACTCTTTTTTAAATATGCAGTGGACGCTTAAAGAAAACCGTGTTGCAGTTATTGCGTTGCATCGTTGCGGTTACGCGCCAATTCAAATTTTTAACATACTGAAAAATTTTAATATAACCAAAAGATTCGTTTATCGTACCATCAAACGATACAATGAAGACTAGTGTAGATGACAGGTCAAGAAGTGGTCGCCCTCGGTCTGTTAGGACTCCAGCAGTGATAAAAGCTGTGAAGGCGCGAATTCAAAGAAATCCCAAACGTAAGCAGAAACTGTTGGCCCTTCAGATGGGGTTAAGCAGAACCACGGTGAAAAGGGTGTTAAATGAAGACTTAGGGCTTCGGGCATATCGAAGAAAAACAGGACATCGTTTGAATGCTCGTCTAATGGACCTGAGACTGAAGAGATGCCGCGCTTTGTTGAAGCGGTACGCGGGAAAAAAATATCGGGAAATTCTTTTTTCGGATGAAAAAATTTTTACCGTAGAAGAGAGCTACAACAAACAAAATGATAAGGTGTACGCACACAGTAGTGAAGAAGCGAGCAACCGTATTCCGCGTGTCCAACGAGGTCATTTTCCATCCTCGCTCATGGTATGGTTGGGAGTTTCTTATTGGGGCTTAACAGAGGTACATTTTTGTGAGAAAGGTGTAAAAACGAATGCAGTTGTGTATCAAAATACAGTCCTGACGAACCTTGTGGAACCTGTTTCTCATACCATGTTCAATAACAGGCACTGGGTATTCCAACAAGATTCGGCGCCAGCTCATAGAGCGAAGAGCACACAAGACTGGCTGGCGGCGCGTGAAATCGACTTCATCCGGCACGAAGACTGGCCCTCCTCCAGTCCAGATTTGAATCCGTTAGATTACAAGACATAGCAACACTTGGAGGAAAAGGCGTGCTCAAAGCCTCATTCCAATTTGGAGTCACTCAAGACATCCTTGATTAAGGCAGCCGCCGATATTGACATGGACCTCGTTCGTGCTGCGATAGACGACTGCCCGCGCAGATTGAAGGCCTGTATTCAAAATCACGGAGGTCATTTTGAATAAACTTTAGTGTCATAAGAATCTATGTTTTGTTAAGTTCATTTTGGTATATGAATGGTTACATAATGAATAAACTTGTTTCAATTATTTTACATTAAACATGTGACAGAATTTATGACCTGACTAGGTATATATAAAAATGTATTGCTGTTCGTTAGTCTCGCTAAAACTCGAGAACGGCTGGACCGATTTAGCTAATTTTAGTCTTGAATTATTTGTCGAAGTCCAGAGGTTTAAAAGGTAGATAAATATGAAAATGCTCGGAATTAAATAAAAATAACAATTTTGTTTTTCCTTTGATGTGTCCCCCGTCGGACGGATTCCTTTTGTTTGTTTTAAGTTTATTTTATACAAAAGTTTAGGTCTTTTATTTATCGATTGAGACACTACGAAGTCTGCCGGGTCAGCTAGTATGGAATATAGATTTGACAGTTTCCTCGGACCCAATATAAAGGTTTAGGATAGGATTGTCTGTGTTACAAGTCGAAAACTTGAGATAATATTAAGTTATATTAGTGGATTTCGAGCTTGAAATCAGATCTGCGGATCTATAGTTGTTTGACCTTTAGATACAACTAGTTGCCAGGGAAACCAGTCACGGCATTGCGTTCATATGTGTTTGGCGTATAACTTTTTTGGTGATGTTAATTTAAGCAGTATTACTTACGAGTTAAAAATCTGAATTAGCTCAAGATAAATCCGGAGATTATAGTCATCTTAAAGTTTGCAAAATTCAATTGAAAAGGGCCAATTAGTAATTCGTGGATGTAAGCTTATGTTTATTTGAGGTTCTAATTACGTTTCTCTATAACAAGGATCAAAATGTAAAGTTTTGTATCGAAATAGGCTATCGTGGGATAAGTAATCACGATTTTACCACCGATTCAGAATAGTTTAGTAGAAAAATCAGCAAGAAAATAAGGGCTTCCTCTTTTCCAAATGCATATACATCATACAAAAAATAACTAATACTTTTCTTATGATTGAGGGATTACTGGTGACCCAGGGGCCTTTCCAGTTTCACCAGGACCGGTGGGCGAGCGATTTGCTAACAGCTGTTCGAGGGTCTCCAAAGGAGACCTAAAAACTCAAGAGCAGCTGCTTCGCGAACAATTTTACAATACCGAATCGGAATCGCGACCCGCTGAGAATATCCGGCGAGAAACTCAGTGGGCTGATGTTTAGCCTAGGTAACTAGTACTTCCGGTGGTAGATTCAGCGAAGCACTGCTCTTGCTAAGGCTGGAGCCCGTGAGCTCACCTAACATTCCACGCGTAGCTGGAATAGCCCTTTAGGCTATCGGCGAATAGGTAGGGGGAAAAACGGACACACACCCATACAATAATGACGACTTAAACAAGAAACAGATATACGCTATCAAGCACCGGCTAAACTAAGAATTTCATAAATACAAACAGACTTTTCTTTTTAAGTTACTAGCTCACCCGGCAGACTTCGTAGTGCCTCAATCGATAAATAAAAGACCTAAACTTTTGTATAAAATAAACATAAAACAAACAAAACGAATCCGTCCGACGGGGGACACATCAAAGGAAAAACAAAATTGTTATTTTGATTTAATTCCGAGCATTTTCATATTTGTCTACCTTTTAAACCTTCTCTGGACTTTCACAAATAATTCAAGACCAAAATTAGACAAATCGGTACATCCGTTCTCGAGTTTTAGCGAGACTAACGAACAGCAATTCATTTTTATATATATAGATAGATAGATACAATTGACTAGAATCGTTCATAGGGCATTTTACATCTGTGACAGCGTGCCTGCAGATTCTATAAGTAGTATATGCATTACATAGTTTATGAGTACGTTAGCCTAACAAAAACAATGGATTTCTTAGGCAATCCGGCCTAGAAGTCTCTTGACCCCAAGTCCGAACGTTGTAACAAAAATCTGTCTTTGACTAGTAGATAACATGGTAATGACAAAGACGCTAAAAGCTCGCAGTGCTAATGATAAGATAAAGTCGGTATTATATCAGTGACACTAGTATTAAGCTTTTAGGCAATACGTAGGTAGTATGTGAGTGATATTTGAGTTTCAGATTGTAATGGATTCAGTGTCGCCAAAACACTTTAAAAAAAATTATAACTGAATTAAATTGACTAACCTTCTTGAATTCAATGGTTTGCTGAATTCAAATGTTATATAAAGAATCACTCTACTGTCTACTGGAAAAGGTAATGAAATAAAACTTTCCAGAATAATTTCGTAACTTAAATGATGACTTTTAATACATCTTCGTATATTACACTTTTTTTTTTTTTGTTTTATACAAAACAACATCCACTTTTCTCGAGGCCTCCGATTTAACCTCAGAGCGGACACGTACAAAAATAACAAAGAAAAAAAAATACTAATTATAATATCAAAAAAAATAATTACGTAATTAAAGAGATCCTCCGAGGTTTGGGAGACGAAAACATTTAAGCACATATTGAATAAAAATATATCTTACTTATCGTTAAGAAACAACAAATCGATTACTTAGTACTTTTTGTGAATAAAAATTGTTCTCCAATCTAGAGCAATAATGACAATGCATTTAACAGGTAGCTCTGTTATAACACGATATTTTACAACGCGGTTCCATTTTAACACGGAAGGAAAAAATTCCCCAAAATCTTCTTATAACACGGTATTTCTACAACACGAGATTTTTGTTTAAAAATTCTTTAAAAAAATACATTATGCTTTATGAACCCAACATTTAAGGGAATAACCGAAATTTTACCGCTTATTTTTAATAAGTAAATAAATACATACGGGCATAGTTGAGATGATTCATTCAGACAAATTACTATTCTTTTTAGTCTTATATAACACTATTTTTCACAACGCGGGACTTTGTATAAATATATCTACCGTGTTATAGAAAGGTTACTTGTATACCTATATTGAGCTTGTTATGAGGCGACATTTTGATAATAATTTGAATATTTAAGTGTTTTTGGTGGAACATTGTAGGTAATAACTCGTTCATATTAATTCAATGTTGCGTCAACGACTATTTATAAATAATTCTGTCGGAAATTCACGATTTCTTTACAGGTTTTTTTTTGTGATATAAAATACCTGTTATCAAAACGAAGGAGACAAATTAAAATCGCAATAAATATTGACGCCAAAATATAATCACTCGTTTTTAAGCAAAGAGTACTGTTACTATGATTACAACCTGTTTTTTTTTTATTTTAGTCAGTTCAGTGAATAATAATTTTAAATGAACCAAGTAAATGATTTTAGGTAGTCTTTATATTTCGTTTAATAATTTTATCATGGAAGCGTTGTAAAATTCATCGTTCTTCATAAAAGTGCTCTGGTTTTTATAAACCGATTACCTAATACGGATATTGCATAAGTATGAGTCATCATAAGAGTTCTCAAAAAAACAAAACCGTTTAAAATCAACCGTAAATCTTACTTTTGATTCTCGTTTAGATATTTCGCGTCTCCCAACGTATATGCTCATTGTAAAAATCTATAAATCTTAAACTTATAATAAACAAGGCATGAAATTTCACTAACGCTCTTAGGTCGGATCGTAGGCGCATAATTAATTTGAAGAATGGCCAAATATCTACCTAGCTAATGGAGCAGAATTATTAAGGGACTGATCTTTTCAAACTTAAAACAAAAAGTTAATAATGACGCGTCAAACATTACACAACAAACAGAACAAGCAACATCCGATCGTAAACAAAAAAGCAAATTCAATAAGCGCTTCGTTCGAAAAGATCCGTCTCAATATTGGGACTAGGCGTCGGGGTAACTTTCTTAGCGGAACGTAAATTGTAAAATAGAAGCACCAATCGAGTAATAATAGTTAAGCGTCAACACAAGCATGCCACAAAAAAAAACACTAAAGAAAGTAACCCCGTTTCCTAAAATAATTATTCGACATTAATATCATAAAATTGGTTAATTCCTTTATTCATTGTCAATAGTATACAACCTTGGCGCTTGTTCGCTTCAACATGGCCGTCGCACGCACACATACACAACAACTAGCGCGTGTGTGGTCACCGCACATGCCACAGACCGAGGTTAAGTACACTGAGCCGAGGCAACTTCACGATATGGTCCAAGCCTTGCGGAGTTATGCCCGTGCAACCGTACAAATCTATCGCCTTCAAGTTCCGCAGACCCTCGCCGAGCGCCCGGAGGCCTCTATCTGTGACCTTCGTGCATTGTCCTATATTGAGAGTTTCTAGCTGCGATAACCGGCCGACCCTCTCCAAGCCTTCGTCCGTTAGCCGACAAGCGCTTAGAGATAACGAACGCAGCCCGGACAAGCCCAGCGTCGCATGCGATAGCGCTTCATCTCCAACTTTATCACAGAACGAAACGTCGAGAGCCCTCAATCTTCCGCTCTCGGCCAGNTCTGTGACCTTCGTGCATTGTCCTATATTGAGAGTTTCTAGCTGCGATAACCGGCCGACCCTCTCCAAGCCTTCGTCCGTTAGCCGACAAGCGCTTAGAGATAACGAACGCAGCCCGGACAAGCCCAGCGTCGCATGCGATAGCGCTTCATCTCCAACTTTATCACAGAACGAAACGTCGAGAGCCCTCAATCTTCCGCTCTCGGCCAGATGGGCGACACCAGCGTCGGACACTCCGTCGCAAGCCCTTAAATTAACGTCTTCTAAATGCGGCAGTCGCGCTAAATGCCTCAAGCCCGCATCGGTAACGGCTACGCAGAAAGACAGATTTATGGATTTAAGTTTAGGAAGACCTGTGGCGGCGTGTCTCAATGCTTCATCTGTTAACCTTTGGCAATCTTGCAAGCCCAAATGCTCGAGTTCTGGAGTTCCCCTGGCTTCCCCTCCGCCGCACAGGTGGGCGATTCCGGCATCGTTAACGTGCCAACACGACCGCAGGTTTAATCGACGGAGATTCCTAAGTCCCCATGCTATTAGCAGCAGACCTGTATCCGTAATGTTGCAGCAACCGCCTAGCTCTAGTTCTTCCAAGTTCTTTAACGATTGAGCGATCCTTCCGAGCGAAGAGTCCGTTACCTGTTTGCAAAGTGATAAATCAAGTCTTTTCAATGCCGGCAGTTCGGCAGCAAACGCGCTGGCTAGTGCTGCGTCAGTGACGCTGTAACATCCACTCAAAGACAACGATTCTAGCCCAGGTAAAGATGCGACTGCGTCTCTTAAGCCTCTTCTAAGTGACAATACTTGTAATTTTCTTACTCCACGTCTAGCTAAGGATGCAAACAGTACAGGAGCAGGTCTCCGTAGATGCAGAGCGGCTTCTACGCCACGCCAAACAGATCTTCGATCAGCTGCGTCCCTCCACGCGCGACAAACTTGTGCAGCTCGGCCCCTGTCTCGCACCGGTAGTCTTTCAAATATAAGCGCCAACAACTCTGGATACAGCCTCGAGATGTGAGTTCCCTGAGGCTCAGTAGGGGGCTCGGACACGTGAGCGGAAGGCAAATGCGGCCGGTGTAGTCTGTAAGGCGCGCTACGATGTTTTCTCCTCGTCGTCGTGCTCGGTAACTCGGTAAGGCCAAGCCGTTCGTCCCGCCAGGACAACATTTCCTCAGTCCACGCACTCATTGTGGCGACACTGCACACTTTAACATGTCACGATGCATCGGACCGGTTTTCGGAGAAACTCGTGTGGATGGGAGAGCGCGCGACGCACGTCTACCCCGCGCGACTGCTCCTCGTGTACTGTGGGTTGGTGGAGAGCGGCCGCCCTCTGCAGTCCCCGCGCTGGCCCCGCTGCCGCCCGCGCGCGACTATTGGTCGCGGTTGACGGCACGTGACGCGCGTCGTATCGATTCGGAGGCTCTGCGGCGGCATTTTTAAGTTGGCGGGCCGAGAACCCGCCTTCGTCCCGCGCGAACCCCGCTACCCGCACCTCATAGATTAAGTGCACCAACAGACTGTTCATCCTTATATTTCATACTTCCAAACAGCACATCTTTTCCTTTGCAATCTTGAACATGATTAATAATGTAGAAATAAATATAAAAGCATTTCTCGAACTTAACTTAAAAATAAAAAGTAAAAGTAAAAAAAATGAGAAAAAATTACTGAATAAACTAAATTTAATTAATTCATTAAATTTGTATGAACAAATCAGTTATACATGCTAATAAGCTATATTTAATAGATACATACTTGTAATATTATCTTTATCTATCTTTAAAAAGTATTGACTGACGTCACAGAGGATTACTTGATGCAATAATAAGTCTGTTTAATATGTTGAAGTAATCCCAATACTAATTCGTGCATTGAAGTTCTGATGGCCTTAAATATACTAATCACAACTGAGAATGTTTCCACCCGCCACATGAGCTAGTTGTCAGTTTCAGTCGAATGTCGTGTGAATAATAACTTAAATTAAGATTAATAGCTCTAATCTACTGGTGATTGGTGATTCTGATTACGGTACTACGAGGTCACCGGCATCATTTTTACTAACTTACTTACAAACGCCTTTTTGAAAGTAACGTATTTATTAGTATCATCCACTACGGATACTAAGCCGACGAAACTATGTAGACCTGATTTTTTATTTATTTGACCAAGGTTATCTAAGAACATTGGTGAATTATTCGTCAGCTTACATCGGAAGGTGAACCATAATCTTCATAACGTATCTAGGTTGCCGTCTATTGGCAATACGACAGTCTCGAACTTGCGTCTTTGCATAAGAAAGGAAGCATGATAGCGAAACACAATGATTATGAGTGAATACATTATACATGCTCTAAAATTAACGGTGATTCTTTAATATTTATTTTTAAAAGGAAAAACTTACCAATCTATCTTTAACAAGAGATTAGTAATAATAAAAAAAATATGTCTTTAGGAGACAAATTTTGTTAGGCAATGCCTAGAAATAACGTTTACATCCATACTCTTTGTTACGAGTGATAAGGCGGCAAAACAAGTCGGCGCGCCGTATATTTTCGTTCTCGCTGCACTTGCCGACGACTTTTGTCCAGATAAGAAAGACTCATGTCAACTATTCAAAAGCGCTTTATTACAACGGCATACAGCAACGGGAGGCCGTGACAGGGGCCAAGATAAATTAGTTTTTTGATAACACCAGCCAACTATTACAAGGGCGACCGGTTGCAAGCGTTCCAAATATTAATTTCGAATTCAAACGTGTTCCAGAATGAAACGCGGTCTGGTCGAGGGACAACGGACGTTTTGAAATTAACGGCACATAAAGAAAGAAAAAGAAAACTTGAATTTTGTTCGGAATTTTTAGAACTTTGCAATAGTAGTTATCAAAATGAGATTTTATAATATTTTTTAAAAAAATTTGAAATGTATCTACGCGTCAGTGAGGCCATACTTGTTTTAAAATTNAACGTGTTCCAGAATGAAACGCGGTCTGGTCGAGGGACAACGGACGTTTTGAAATTAACGGCACATAAAGAAAGAAAAAGAAAACTTGAATTTTGTTCGGAATTTTTAGAACTTTGCAATAGTAGTTATCAAAATGAGATTTTATAATATTTTTTAAAAAAATTTGAAATGTATCTACGCGTCAGTGAGGCCATACTTGTTTTAAAAGTTTAATTTGTTTTTTTGTTGCGTCTGCATTTTCCTTGACTGAAGAGTAGGCGATACACTTAGCTATATAGACGTAATAAAATATTTGTAAGAGGCTAAATCGGATCGGATGCCTTTGTTTAAATACGCATAGGTAGGTAGTTAAAATAGTTGAATACCTACATTTTTTTCTATGTTTATCAACCGATTTTCTTTTTATTTGTTTTGTATATATTGATGAGTGTAAATATAATGAGATCTAAAGAAAGAAAGGCTGGATGTGGTCATTTTATTTTGCTATGTCATTAACAAAAAAATTGGATCAGCTTTGGAGCAGCATTTGCTAACAGCTGCCCGAGCGCCTCCGAAGGAGACCTAACAACTCAAGAGCAACTGCTTCGCGAATGAATCTACTACGGGATCGGAATCGCGACCCGCTGAGAAGATCCGGCGGGAAACTCAGCGGGCAGATGTTTAGGTTAAGTTGCACGTCGACCTCTTTGCCGAGTTCGACGAGTACGGTTACCGGGGTCCCTTAGCCTTCTCCTAGTGTTAGAGCTGAAGGCGTCAACCTGAAACCTTGTTCTCCCACAGTTAGTTTCTAGAGGACCTACTACCGGCTTCTGAATGTATTTCGCAAGTCGCGGGTTTCATCTAGCACAATAATATATCTGTGGCTTATTATTTAAGCGTGTCTTTAGAGTTTTCAAACCACATTTATTTGCTTCTCGCCCGGTGACGCTGATATGGTCTCTCAAGACCATCCGCATAGGTAGAAAAGTAAATAAAAAAAGATAAAACGAAATGGGGGTCAGTCGTCTCACGGTAAGGCAGCTCGCGGCGTGCTACCTAAATCGCCGATTATTTAGATACCCCTCAAAAGAGTAGGACCTACCTTGTATCTCAAATATTTGCTTATAGTCAATGACGGGTAAGTTTCACGATTTTTTTTTTTTTTATGATTGAAGAATTACTGGTGGCCCGGAGGCCTTTCCAGTTTCACCAGGATAGGTGGGCGAGCAAAGGCTCAGCCAGGAGGGGTGGGATTTGCTAACAGCTACCCGAGCGCCTCCGAAGGAGACCTAACAGCTCAAGAGTAGCTGCTTCGCGAATGAATCTACTACCGGATCGGAATCGCGACCCGCTGAGAAGATCCGGCGAGAAACTCAGCGAGCTGATTCATGGGTTAGGTTGCACGTCGAACTCTTTGTCGAGTTCGACGAGTACGGTTACCGGGGTCCCTAAGCCTGCTCCTAGTGTTAGAGCTGAAGGCGTCTAATGCAAAGGTTATTGGATCTGATGGATCCGTAAGGACGTGAAGTTTCACGTGTGCTGACTAGTGTGCTTAGTGCGAGTTTTTTTAATCTCGATAGCGTGAAAGTTAACTCAAATATGTATGGAATTGGAACAGCGCCCCTAGCGGCAATCGTAGGCAAACGTTCCAACTGCATACAAATTTGAGTTAACTTTTACGCTATCGAGAACGTTTAAAAAACTCGAACTAAGCACACTGGGCTCTGGAATTCCTCCGGTGACGACTTATGCGTCGAAATAAAACTAGCATTAGTTATTTTATTATAAAAATTATACAAACAAATAAATCAAGCTAATGCTCGCCAGTTTGTTTACCTATTATATTTTGCGTTATGTTGTTTATTTTTTTAAATATAAATTACAATTACACACATTATATATATATACGCAGGTGTAAAATAATTGAATAAGACTATTTATCATTCCGAAGAATACTATAAATTGCGTAGGTATACATAATTAATATAACTAGTGGTCCCGCAGTAGTCGAAATTCGACTATAATTAAATGGAATTGTAAGCTTGTATACTATTATGATTGTATTTTATACTTCTATAATCACAGATTTCGCCAAGACTACACTATAAAAAATATTTACAAAGGCAAACAATATTTAATCTATTCTCAATTTGACAACAGACGCCAAGAAGTTTGACAAAAAATAGTATGTATGCATGCGTGTGTGCGTCAAATACACGGTATGTAGTGTGTGTAATGTTTTCTTTATTGATTTAATGTATCTTTTATGCATTATTTAAAAAAAATATTAGCATTGTGCACTTCATCTCTATATTCTCTATAAGTCTGGAAAATTTCATACTCCTCCGTTCGCGCAATTTTCGTAAAAAGGGATAAAAAGTTTTTGCTTCACGTATTAATATATAGATTAATAATTTTATTGAAAGCGAAATGTATAATATGCGTGTCGGTTAAATTGTGTTTTATGAAAAACAAAAAAAAACAAAACAAAAATACTTCGTTTTATATTTTCGTTCCTGACGATGACAGAAGAGTCGACGGTCTGATGGTGAATGGTTACCGTCGAGGTCGACGTGCAACCTAACTCATGCATCAGCCCGCTGAGTTTCTCACCGGATCTTCTCAGTGGGTCGCGTTTCCGATCCGGCGGTAGATTCTGCGAAGCACTGCTCTTGCTAGGGCCAGTGTTAGCATCACTCCGGTTTGAGCCCCGTGAGCTCACCTACTAGTTAAGGTTACGCTGAAATAGCCTCTCAAGGCTATTAGCTAAAGTAGGGAAAAAAAAGCTACGTATCAGGTCATTCGGCTATATATACGTAATAAAATATTTGTAAGAGACTAAACCGGATCGGATACCTTTGTTTAAATACGCATTTGGAACCTCTGGGTCTGCGGAGGGACTTCGGTTCCCTCTGTATTTTGTACAGTATGTTCCATGGGGAGTGCTCTGAGGAATTGGTCGAGATTATACCACCATCTCGTTTTTACCATCGCACCGCCCGCCACCGGAGTAGAGTTCATTCATACTACCTGGAGCCACTACGTTCATTCACAGTGCGTTTCCAGAGATCTTTTTTGCTACGTGCCATCCGGCTTTGGAATGAGCTCCCCTCTACGGTGTTTTCCGAGCGCTATGACGGATCGGGAGGATCCATTGACGGTGCTTTTAGGTACCTCAAGCACCGGATATCGTTCTCGTCGAACCCTTCGCTTGCGACGAAGGGTTCGGCGAGTAAATTAACCCACAGACACAGCCCATTGAGTTTCTCGCCGGATCTTCTTGGTGGGTTCTTCGGGTGGTAGATTCTGCGAAGCGCTGTTCTTGCTAGGGTTAGTGTTAGCAACGTCCTCAGGATTGATTCCCGTGAGCTCACCTACTAATTCGGCGAATCTAGTATAACCACTCAAGGTTACTAGAATAGGTAGGAAGAAAAAAGTCGTTAAAACGACAAGCACGTATTAATTCTTAGC